TCGGTGTAAGGAATGTGGGGAGGCCTTTTCCACCTCCACAGCCCTGACTGCACATATCCAAACACACAGTGGAGAACGGCCATGTGAAAGTCAGCCATGTGGGAAGGCCTTTGGCCAAGCCTCCAAACTTACAAAGCATCAAAGAACTCTCAGTGGAGAGAGGCCGTATGACTGTGAGGAATGTGGGAAAGTCTTCAGGGATTCCGCCAAACTCACTGTACATAGAAGGATTCACCGTGAGAAGCCTTATAAATGTCAGCAATGTGGGAAAGCCTTCACTTGTTCCTACACTCTCACTCGGCATTTGCGAACTCACAGTGGAGGAGACAGGCCCTATCGGTGTAAGGAATGCGGAAAGGCCTTTTCCACCACCACGGCCCTCACCATTCATATGCGGACACACAGTGGAGAGCGGCCGTATGAATGTCAGCAGTGTGGAAAGGCCTTCAGCCAAGCCTTCAACCTCACAAAACATCAAAGAACTCACACTGGAGAGAGGCCGTACGACTGTGAGGAATGTGGGAAAGCCTTCAGGGATTCCGCCGCACTCACAATTCATAGAAGAACTCACAGCGGAGAGAAGCCTTATAAATGCCAGCACTGTGGGAAAGCCTTTACTTGCTCCCCCCATCTCAGTAGGCATTTGCGAACTCATGGTGGAGGAGACAGGCCCTATCGGTGTAAGGAATGTGGGGAGGCCTTTTCTAGCTCCACGGCCCTGACTGCACATATCCGAACACACAGTGGATAGCACCCACCTGAATGTTGGGTGTATGGGAAAGCTTTGCCAAGCCTCACACCTAACTGAACATGATAGATCTTGCAGTAGAGAGAGGCCTTAGGAATATGCGGAAGGTTTTACTTCTCACATCTCACTATACATTTGTGAAATATAGTGTGAGATGCTTTAATTGAATAACCAAGCAGCAACAGCCCACGTGGAAGAAGCACACCAGCCTGTGTGATCACGAGGTGCCAAAGGGATCAGTTCTCAGGCATCAAAGAACAAAAAAATCATTGTGTGCTCACCTCCATGATACAATCCCTATAGACAAATGGGTGCATAAGCAAATATGGTGAAGAAAGCTGATGGTGCCCAGCTATCAAAAGACATAGCGTCTTGCATCTTAAAGGTTTGAAGTTAAACAAGCGGTCATTTAACTCGGAAGAAACAAAGCCCACATGGAAGCACACCAGCCTGTGTGATCATGAGGTGTCGAAGGGCTGAGGTATCAGGCATTAAAGAGCAAAAAAAAATCATAATGTGAATGAGGGGATGCTGATGAAGGGCTTTCGTGGAGAGCAAACGTTTTGAGAATGATGAGGGTAACGAATGCACAAATGTGTTTCCCACAACTGATGGATGTATGTGATAACAGATGTATGAGCCCCCAGTGATTTATTTTAAAAAAAACACAAGTAACGGGGGAAACTTTTTAGGCATGCTTCACTAAGTCTCATTTCTCTCCTGCGTCTGATCATTTGGGGACGGCTCATGTCTGAGGTCAACTAGCTGTCTCTAGTCCTCGATGGTGTGCCTGTGTGCATAAGAAACACACGGAAGCACTTCCAGACGTGCTAAAGCATCTTTAGTACAACGGTGTAACAGGGATCGTGAAAAGAGGACCCCTGGTTTGCACCGTGGATTAAGCAGTGGCCTGCTCAC